CCGTAACTTTTCCTTTCTTTCCTCAATCTCCATTTTCCTTACCTCTGCTTCCCTTTCCTTTTCTCGCTGTTCTGCTTCCGCTTCCAGCCGTAACTTTTCCTTTCTTTCCTCAATCTCCATTTTCCTCACCTCTACTTCTATTTCCATTTTTTCCTTTCTCTCTTCCCTCGCCGCTTGTCTGTCAGCCCGCTGAGAACTCAATTGCTCCAAAATAAATTTCCTTTTGTCTTCTCCAGTCATTTCCAGTTCATCCGCCCATTCCATCAACTCTTGTTTCGACATATCTTTTATCTCGCTGGCCATGTTGTCTTCTATATGTCTTCACTGTTCCCGGACGAGCCCCCAGATGTCACATGCAGTAATATTACCGTAATTGGTAATAGTACAGGTGTGATGGTTCAAATACCAAAATGGCAACAGTAACAGAAAGACTTCCCTGGCGGCGATGATAACATGCGAACACAGAGCCAACATATGAGGTTTCAACTGGTACTGGTATTATTATACATCAAGTACAATAACGCAGTAAAACTCCACTACTCCAATAACTAGATACTTAAACTCCAATACAATTCAACGAGATCTCTGATCTGATCTCAGTGCTGAACAACTCCCCTATATATACCCGCACTGTCTATAAATAGACCATTACATCAGCATACATAATGAATGAGTCTTGAACTTACTACAAATTTCTAGAATGTTCCATTACCTTCTATTGCCTCCTACAATGTTCTATTACCTATTCAACCAGTTTCTAAAAAAATATAGAATATTCCACCCAGACACAGTACGGTTCTAGAACATTCTCAGTGACATGGAAGTGGTAAATAAGTCGTATGCGACATACATGCTTACCTATAATTTACAGTTTACTTGGTGTCAAAACATTAGTCACAGAAGATTTCATGACCATTTAAAAAAATAATGCAACAACTTTACTATTCACCTATTGATATGCAAATTAACATTTTTCATCAATTGATATGCAAATTAGCATTTATCTATTTATCTTTGTTTTAATTTTGACATCAAAATGATCAATCAAACGAGTACTACTCATCAGATTTCTTCATTTTTTTAGAAATTGTAGACAGGGTATATATGAACAATACCTCATCAGCAATTCCTGTTAAATTTTTGCATTCCAAAGATTTCATTCTCTGAATGTAAAGATAAGCAACATATTCTGGTAAAAATGAAAAATAAACATTTAAAAGAAAAAGAAATTTTGTACAAAATCTCTGTGACTGTTATGTTTCTTGTGTTTTATTCAACATTTTTCAAAAAAAATATGCAGTCCGTTATATTTTCTTCAAAATACTTCAATAAAGGAATTATTTACCGTGACCACATGAAGGTTGTATCTAATGTAACATTGATTTTACATTAATGTGAATAATGAGCTATCAGATATGGTTTCAAATAAAAATATGAAAATAATTTCTCACAAAATAGTCCCTTTTATAGTCTGCACTTTCCTTCAGAAGATTGGGACAAAAATAGTCAAATTTTTTGAGTAAAAACATAAAATTTACTAAAATTTTGTTGGCTCCAAAATTAGGGTTCATTTCCAGAAATATTGAAGAATATAAGAAAATAGTGCAAACAAAATTGGGCGAGAAATTCTGGTGGTGAAAAGGTTAAAAGCAGCTGTCTTAACAAACAGAACTGAATACCTGTTAGATCCAGAGTGTGAACAGAAGGACTGTTCTTCAGAAGTTCAAGGCACTTTTCAGCAGTTTCTTTGTTCATCATTTCTTTCCTCTTAGGTGAAGACTCTACATGGCAATGGCTGCAAACCTGGTTACAATATAAACCAATGTTTAGCTGCAGAACTTCAACTGATTTCCTTTTAAGAAGTCCTTCAACTGAAAAATAAATGTTTAAGGATACAATATGTAACAGTTTTTACTGTGCCTATTATACTATCGG